GGAGCCCTTTTGCTGCCAGGAGGGCACAGGAGCCCTTTCACTGCCAGGAGGGCACAGGAGCCCTTTTGCTGCCAGGAGGGCACAGGAGCCCTTTCACTGTCCGGAGGGCACAGGAGCCCTCGCTGCCAGGAGGGCACAGGAGCCCTTTCACTGTCCGCAGGGCACAGGAGCCCTTTCAATGCCAGGAGGGCACAGGAGCCCTTTCACTGCCAGGAGGGCACAGGAGCCCTTTCACTGTCCGGAGGGCACAGGAGCCCTCGCTGCCAGGAGGGCACAGGAGCCCTTTCACTGTCCGCAGGGCACAGGAGCCCTTTCACTGTCCGCAGGGCACAGGAGCCCTTTCACTGTCCGCAGGGCACAGGAGCCCTTTCACTGCCAGGAGGGCACAGGAGCCCTTTCGCTGTCCCGAGGGCACAGGAGCCCTTTCGCTGTCCGGAGGGCACAGGAGCCCTTTTGCTGCCAGGAGGGCACAGGAGCCCTCGCTGCCAGGAGGGCACAGGAGCCCTTTAGCTGTCTGCAGGGCACAGGAGCCCTCGCTGCCAGGAGGGCACAGGAGCCCTTTCGCTGTCCGCAGGGCACAGGAGCCCTTTCACTGTCCGCAGGGCACAGGAGCCCTTTCACTGCCAGGAGGGCACAGGAGCCCTTTCGCTGTCCCGAGGGCACAGGAGCCCTTTCACTGCCAGGAGGGCACAGGAGCCCTTTCGCTGCCAGGAGGGCACAGGAGCCCTTTCGCTGCCAGGAGGGCACAGGAGCCCTTTCGCTGCCAGGCCTGCGCAGCGCGGGGAGCGCTGGCAGCCCGCAGCTGCCTGGCACGGGCTGCACACACAAACCCTGCTCCTTCAGCAAAGCCCACCGAGGCTGCACATCCCTCCTGCCTCACTGCACACAGCAGCGGGCAGTGGCCAGGAGGGCCGGGGGCTCTGCCAGCCCTCGCTCTGCCCTGCCATACCCGTGCCCAGAGCCTGCCAGGAGCCATTTTGTAGCTGCAGAACCCCACAGGCCTAGGCTGGACTGCACCATGCTCTGAAAAACCATAAAAACAACAAAACAGCCCTTTTCTGCATGATCCTTTATGATCCTCGGTCAGGCTCTGCATCTTCCCCAGCCAGCAGCACCCACAGGGACTTTTCCCCTGGCTGCTCTCCCTGTCCCTGTCCCAGGCCAGGGTACCTCGTCCAGCGTGCACAGGAATGAATCCTGGGATTCGTTCCTGTGATGCAGCGCGCAGGCTGCATCTCCTTCAACAGAAACTCCACGTATCGCTCCTTTCAAAGTCGAGCCTAGACAATTCCAAAGCTGCCACTATTGAACAAGCTGCCAAAATAAAATCATTCAGCTAAACTATTTTTTTTCCTAGCTCTTTTTCTTAAAGTTTCTTTTCACACAAAGTGAAATGGAGAAACATTACCAAAGTATCAGCTCAAAGAAAACGTAAGCAGCACACAACCTTCTTTTCTGAGAATAAAATTAGCATCTAAATATTAAAATATATCTGCACCTCTTCTGACAACTGCCTCTTCTGGACTCTGAAGGGGGTTTTTCCATGACTTGAACACAACAGATGTCGGTAAAGCCATCCTAAACCATCTCCTATCAGGTCTGCAGGGCAGGTCGTTGCTTTGCCATTCTCACTCACCACTGTAAGCTCTTACAAAAGCATTTTTACTGCCTACAGTTATGTTCAGGTGAGCAGGCATTAGCAAGATGGATTATATTTTTATCCCATACAAACAGCATAGAAAGGTTAACTAAATATCTTAGTTCAGGGGATGTACAGATTAGTCACTACAATACAAACTTTTTCCTTCTGCATGCTCCATTATAAAATTAGATTTCTCAAAGAATACAGGCTTTCTCTGGAGTTTCACCTCTTCAAATGAGGAGTGCATCTCTGCAGAAATATTTTCCTTACAGCTGATCACAGTAACAAGCATAAATAACAGGGATGGTTTAGCAAACAATTGTCAAAGTTACACTCAGTTTAAAAAGCTGGTGTTAGGATAGATGCTTTTAATCTCAGAACATTATATTAAAAAATAAAATGCAAACACACAATACTACAACCTCTCCACTGCTTTGGAGCTTTACAGCAAACAGATTTGTTATAGAAACTTAATTTCTGATGCCGAAAAGCCAAGACACTTGAACACAACCTGATCAAAATGCCTTCGGGACTCTGCCTTCACACAGTGTGCAACCACTACATGCTAATAGCAGGCACAATGCTTGAAAACAATATTTTTTTTCAGAGGATTACACCAGACACAGAGACAGATATGCAAAAACAATCACACCAAAGGAATCAAAATGTTCATGGCTCATAAAGCATGGTAGGGATGGAATGGCTCCAGTTCATCGCCTGCCCCTGCTTAGATTCCTTATAGCACAATGTATCAACATTACCCCTTTAAGAAAACCACCCAGAGTTGTGTTTATCTGGGGACAAATCCACCTAATCCCACTCACACAAGCATGCACAGCAATTTCAAGAGAGCTGCTAGTCTGGGAGAGGCCAGCAGAATATATCCCGTTTGTGAACAGTCCTGGGATTCTTCTGGGGTGTGACACAAGTCCCATTTTCATGACAAACTAGAAGCTGAGCTAACAGGACACCTGCCCTGTCAGTACTGTCCTGCCCTCATCAGCTCTGTAACGTTTTTGTCCAAGCTGTGAGCACAGGTCAGCTTTGAAAATCATAAACTGTCTCTCCCCAACTCACAAAAGCAGCCTAAGACATCCAGGAGAGAGGATCTTTCCCATTCCAGAACTCTCTGTATCTCCTTGCAACTGGTGAGGGTAAGGAACAGGGACTTTTTACCTCTTTTTACAAAAAAACTTCTTATTTGTCCATGAAGGCTGAGGACCAGGCTGCAGGGTGAGACAGGCCTTCTCTGGTGTCACTCCCCAGTCTGAGCAGCAGCAGCTGGCAGGGCAGAGGCGCTGGCACCAGCAGCCACCAGAACACCAGCCCATCATCAGGAGGCTTGGTCCTCCTGCCCCACCTCAGGGTGCTGAACCCTGCGCTTTGCAGGCGTCTCAGAGCCAAGCAGGTCCCCAGCTCTTTCTATACCCACCCCGAATCCATTGCTTCACCTCATACCAGACACACACATAGAGCTGCACCTGCCCAACCCATGCCCCATTTTTGGAGGGCTGCAGACCAGCCTGGAGGACCCGGAACCTCAGTGGGGTGCAGGCCACAGTTTGCTCCACTCTTCTGCAAACTGGCTGCAAGCCCTGTCTTAATGGGGAGGTCCAAGCGGGGGGGACTGGATGTAACACCAGGGAAGGCAATGAGCCAGGATGCTGGTTTTAAGTCCTGGCTATAAAAACGGCAGGGCAGTGCTGCCAGTTGAAGGAAGCACCTGCGGGGTCAGGCAGGAGTGCAGCTTTGCCAGCAAGGCGCAAAGCCCCTGGGACCAGCCAGAGACGCTGTGGGCCACAAACAGCCCTGCACCGATCCTCCAGCGGGGCCGCTGCGCCAGGATGGGAGACGCTACATCTCTGGCCACGGCTCCCCAAGCCGGGCAGCCCCTCCACAGTACAGGCCCCACCCCGGGACGGCGTTTCGGCCCCACAGCAGCGGGACCCGTCCCGAGGCGCTCCCGCGGAGCCCTGCGCGCCCGCGCCTCCCCGGCTCCGAGCAAAGCAGTAACGAAACCGAGCCTACCGGCACCTTTTCCGAGCCTGGCGCGGTCCGGAGCAACGCAGACACGACCCAGGTGTGTGTCCGAGGCGAGGAGCCGCTCCTGGCCCGCCGCGGTGCGGGGCGGTCCCGCTCCGGCCGCCGGAGCCGCGCCGGCAGCGCTCCGCGGCCAGCCAGAGAAAGACTTCACAGAAAAAGAGAAGCACACATCCACGTCTAGCCGGGACACCTCGAAGGGAACTATTTTAAGGGGCCAGTGGGGAGCTCGGGGGACTTTTTTGGGGTTTTGGGTTTCTTTTTTAGTTTGTTTGTTTTTTTTGTTGTTTGTTTTAGCTGTGCAGCTGAAGAGGCTGCAAGCCACCTTTCTCCTGTCCTTTTCTGCCCAAGAAACCGTTCTTCTTTTTTTTTTTTCCCCTACCTTTGGGGGAAGGAGAGGGTAAATTTGTTCAAATGTAAAATAAATTTCAAAGCATGCAAGGTTGCGCGGGCTGCTCGCCCGAGCGGCCCGTGCGGCAGCAGGAGGGGATGGGCCACCCCTCGTCCTTCCGCTGTGCCCCCAGTCAAGTTCAAGACGGGCCGGTCTGCGGTCTCCGCCGGTCAGCAAAGGAGCGGGGCCGCAGTGCGGTCCCTGCCTCGCCTGGGCTCAGCCCGCGGCAAGCCCCCACTGCCGGAGGAGGCTGCGGAGCCGAGCGGCCGGGCTGGCCGCGCCCCGCCGGGCACCGGCCGTCGGCGCTCCCGCCGCATCCCGGCCAGCCTGCCGGACAGCCGCCGCCCTCCGGCCAACGGGAGCCCCGCCGGGAGGAGCCGTCTCCACCGTCGCTCTAGTTGCTTGGGGCTCCTGTGCGACGCTGAGACGTTTCTCGGGGGAGATGTTCGATCTCGATGCCTCTTCTCTCCTGAAGACGGGAAGGTTTTTCCGCATCCTAGTCAGAAATAAAAACAGAACAAAACAAACCAGGCGATAACGGAGACAGTCCTGCCCGCCGCGAGGTCGCCCCGGGACCCCGCGGCAAGCAGCTCGCTGTCGGCGGGCCGGTCCGGCACGGGTGCGCGGCCCCACAGCCTGCGCTGCCCGGTACTCACCGGTACTCACCGGGCACTCACCGTCGGGACCGCCCCGCTGCCCCCGTGGCTGCTCCAGCTCGCCGGCGCCGTGCCCCGACCTCGGCCCGCTCGGGAAGCCGCCGGGCGGTGCAGGGCTGGGACAAAGGGGCAGCAGAGAGCGGCGTGGTGCAGGGCGCTTCCCCCGGCATCGCCGGCTCCAAAACAACGGCCCGGCCTCGCTGGCAGCGCCATCCGGGCCCGCGACGGGACCCGCGGCTCCCCGAGCCCCGGAGGAGGTCAAAAACGGCTCTTTCCAAAACAATAAACTTTTAATGCTAAGGCAGTTATAACCAAAAGCTGTACAGAGTTGGATTTTTTTTGTTTGTATTTTCTTGTTAGAAAACAATTTTTTCTCCCCCATAAATATTGTTCAGTTCCCGGCACTTTGTATCAATAATTAAATTACGAACGATAAATATGGCATCATGGGTATGTATTTACAAAAAAAAGTTATTACAAAAAGGCAACTGTTATACTAAACGTCACAATCTGGGCAGAATAAACACCACATCCTCATCCTGAAAAATACTGACCGACCCCATCAGACGAGAATACATTCATGTGTAATGCTTGGAGAGAGAAAGAGAAGAGCAGAGAAAGAAGCAGCAGGAGAGATAGAAAGGAAAGTTCAAGACATAACAGGACTTTGGCACGGTTTAAGACTGAAAGTTTAAACAATCACCACTAAGGCGAAGGAGAATTTTCATCCTCATGTCAACATCCCACCGAAAGAAAGAAAAAAAAAATTAAGAAAAATAAAATAAGTTGGGAATTGGAAGAAGAGAAACCCAGGCAAGGGACGGGGAGTGAAACCAAAGAAATGACTGAGACTGAAAAAAATTACAAAAAAAAAAAAAAAAAAAAAGAAATCTAATCCTGAGAAAAGGACATGGCTAGTCCAGCGTCTGGGCTTGCAAAAAAATAGTAATAATTATAATATAATAATAAAAGACCCCCCTCCACATCCTGGCAGTTAAGTAGGTGTAGCCCTATGTGGTCGTCGGTGTGGAAACTCCATTTCCGTGGGAGCGAGCTGCAGTTGGCTTGGTTTGTCCTTTTTTTGCCTCGTTCCCTACGCATTTGGTCCAGTCTGTGGCCGGGCAGCAGCTGCCTTCACACATACCACTCATTAAAATTGGGGGGCAGTCCAGGGTTATGGCCGGGGTTACTCTGCAGGGCGGCCGGCGGCGTTTTAGTGGAGTCCTTACTGCCGGCGGAGCCCACCGCAGGCGGGGTGGAGGACTCGTACCCCGAACTGGCTGCAGGGGAAGAGTCCGACCCCTGGGATTCGTGCACCTAAAACCAAGAGGCAGAGATGGGAGCGAGCTCGGGGCCTCCGGCACCCCGCGGGGCTGCTCCTCCATGCAGGATGGACACATGGAGCAGCGGCTGGGCCCTGCCCGGCCAGCGGGCAGCTCACGCCCGGCCGGCCACCGAGCACCGGCGACAGACGCCGGCCGCGGCCCCCGGACACTGCTGCAGCGTCCTGGCCGGGGGCTGCGGCATCCCAGCACGAGGGGCTGCAGCCACAGGCCGGGCTGCACTTGCACAGCCTGCCCGCACTTAGCCCCGCTCCGCAAACCGGGCAGCGCCTGCACCAGCGGAAAAGAAACTGCGCCATTTCCCCGGGCTGTGCTCCAGCCACAGCCTAGACAGCGGGGACGGCTCGGGCCGTGCTGGAAACAAGGAGCTCAGCTCTGCTCTGGGGGAATGAGCCCTGAGCACACCAGCGACTGAGCATCACTGCTCAGGGAGGAAAGGGCTGGAGCACCGGCGTGATTTACCTTCATGTGTTTCCTAAGTGAGCTGGGGTGGGTGTAGGATTTGTCGCACACCTTGCAGATGTAGGGCTTGTCGGAGGTGTGGACGTGCATGTGTTTCTTCCTGTCACTGCTGTTGGCGAAGCGCCTGTCGCAGCCCTCAAACTCGCACTTGAAAGGCTTCTCACCTGTGAAATTTAGAGAGGGTGAAGGAGGGCCGTTCCTCTCTCCATCCCCACCCGCCTCCTCCAAGGACAGCATCTGCCCTGCTCGCCCCACCTTAGGGATGCACAAGCACCACAACAAATGAAGGGGAAGATGGACAGCAAGATTTGTTACGTGTCGGATAAATTTGGATCAGCCTTTATGACTTTTAACTCACCTCCCGCCAGGCCCACGCTGGGCTCCAGCAGGGAAGGCGGCTGGGCGAGCTTGGGAAAGGAGAAGACCCGAGATAAATTCAGCGGTTCGGACAGCTTTACAAGACCTACTCGAGGATACAAGCCAAAGTACGTTTGCTTCCAGCCTTCCCCCTCTCTTCCCTCCACCCATGCAGGAGGGCTGAAGGAAAGTCGGGGCTGCAAATAAAAATACTTTGACAAAAGTATCGCCGATTTAATTAGAAGAGACGCCAATCAGGCCTAAAAATAAGAATAAAAAAGGAGCGGAAGTCACCGAAAACGAGGTTTCATTTGCATTTCTATGGTTCCCTCCGCTCCGGAGGCCGAGAGCGGAGGCAGCGCCGCGCAGCTCACACGCCGGCCGCCGCCGGCCCGGCCCGTCCCCGCAGCCCCGGAGCCCCCCGTCCCGGGCGGGGGAACACACGGACACGGGCCTTACCTGTGTGCGTCCGCTTGTGAATCTTGAGGTTCTCGGAGCGGGCAAAGATCTTGCCGCAGCCCGGGAAGGGACACGGGAAGGGCTTTTCCCCCGTGTGCACCCGAATGTGGTTCACCAGTTTGTATTTCGCCTTGAAGGACTTGCCTTCCCGCGGACACTCGTCCCAGTAGCAGATGTGGTTGTTCTGCTCCGGCCCCCCGACGTGCTCCATGGTGACGTGGGTCACCAGCTCGTGCATGGTGCTGAAAGTCCTGTCGCAGCTCTTCTTGGGCCGGCTGAGCTGGCTCTCGTCGAGCCACTTGCAGGACAATTCTTGCTTGATGGGCTGGCGCATGTACCGAAAGAAAGCGCCGGGGCCGTGGTGGTGGTGGTGGTGGGCCGCCACGTTCATGCCCATATTCATATTCATGTGGTTGTAGTTGTGGAACTGGGCGCCGGCGTAAGGGTCCGTGCGGGGGCTGGAGACGGCCCGGTAGGGATCCGGCCGCCCGAAGAGGTCCCCGCGCAGCCCCAGGTGCATCTGCCCGTTGTCCACGTGCCCGTTGGGGGACGTGTGGCTCGGGCTCTGCTCGTGCAGCCCCGGGAAGAGCAGGTAGCCCGGGGTGTCCGGGATGCCGCCGGGGCCGTGCAAGCCGCCGGGGGAGCCGCCGAAGAGCCCGTGCTGCGCCGTGCCGGAGGCGGCGTCCGCGATGCCGGAGCTGCGGTTGCGGAACAGAAAGTCGCGGGTGGAGTTGAAGGCGGCGGCCCCGCCGTAGGAGGGCACCTGGCCGGCGTGGTGGTGGTGATGGTGGTGGTGGCCCAGGGCGCTGGCGTAGCCCGGCGCCTGCGGCGTGAACGCCGAGCTCTGCCCGGCGGCGAGGTCGTGCGGGGCCGCGTTCAGCTTGAAGGCGGCGGCGTGCGAAGAGTCCCCGAAGGGGCCCAGCCCCATGCCACCGCCGGCGGCGTCGCGGCCCGGCATCTCGTGGTGGCGGGGCGCTGCGAAGCCGCCCACCCCCAGCGCCGGGAACTGCGGCCCTCCGTCCAGCAGCATCGTCATGGGCGCAGGGCCGTCGGCGCGGCGGCAGCCTGCCCGCCCCCCCTCCTTCCGCCCGCCCCCAAAAAAGTACAAAACCACCCCAAAACGCACCCCCACTCCGCCCCCCGCTGCGGGCAGGCGCGGCCCCGGCCGCGGGCGGGCAGCGAGGCGAGCACCCCCGACTGACACAAAAACAAAACAAAACCAAACCAAAAAACAAAAAAAAAAAAAAGAAGAAGATAAAACCCCCAAAACTAAAACCCCAAAAGCCAAAGCAGCCACCCGCCCCCCGCGCCGCGCCGGTCGGGCCGGGCGGCGCAGCAGGGCAGGAGGCGCGGGGCGGCCGCGCTCCCGCTCGGCGCCGTCGGGGCTCTGCCGGGGCGGCCGAGCGCGCCTCGCACATAAACCAACCCCGGCCCGGGCCGCGCCGCGCCAATGGGGGCCGCGCGCCGCCCGTCACCTGACCCGCCGCCCGCCGCCCCATTGGCGGCGCCGCGCTTGATTGGCACGCGCCCCGCGCCGCCGCGGCCGCTGATTGGGCGCGCGCGCCCCGCAGGTAGAGCGGGGTGCGGGGGGGGCCCGGGCGGCGGGAGCGCCGCGGAGCCCGCGCCTGGCCCGGCCCGGCCCGGCCCGGCCCGCCCTGTGCCGCCGTGTCCTGCCGTCTGCCGCCCTGTCACGGCCGTGTCCCGCCGTGTCCCGGCCCGGCCCGCCGTGTCCCGCCGTGTCCCGCCGTGTCCCGGCCCGGCCCGCCGTGTCCCGGTCCGGTCCCGCCGTGTCCCGCCGTGTCCCGGTCCGGTCCCGCCGTGTTCCGGTCCGGTCCCGCCGCGTCCCGCCGCCCGTGCCCTGCCAGCGCCGCCCCACGCCGCGCGGGATGCTCGCCCTGGGCGGCGCGGCGGGGCGGCGTAAAGCCGCTGCAAAGCCCCCGCGTTGGTTCAAAAATAAAATTTAATAATAAAAAAAAAAAAAAAAAAAACAGAAAGAAAGCTAAAGCCGAGGCTGTTTACAGTTTATTTCTGTATACATACATACATTTATATACAATCATATATACTTTATATATCTGTTTCAGTTTTCTATTCATTTTTACCCTTACTGATTAAACCCGAGAGCAGAGCCGCCCGCTCCTGCCCCTCCGCCTCGGTGCGCAGCGTGCCCGGGCCGGGGTCACCCCGCCGGCCGAGCCCGGCCCCTTTCCTCTGCCCCGTCCCCCACCCCGCGGGGGGCGGCCGAGCAGCGCCCGCCACGGCGGCTCCGAGCCGCTTTCTTCCTACTCTCGTTCATTCTTTCTCTTTCTTTCTCTCTTTCTCTCTCATTTTTTCCTTATTTCTTTCTCACTTTCTCTCTCATTTTTTCCTTCTTCCTTTCTCTCTTTTTACCCCCTTTCTTTGTTTTTTATTATTTTATTTTTTTAAATTTTATTTTGCAAGGGAAATGTTCTGCCTTGGAATAATTATCAGATGCAGACAGCGCTATAAATCCACTCATTTTCTGTTCTGGAAAGCATTTGCAAAGAACTATAGGGAGCAAGAGTGAAAATAAAAGGCAGAAAGAAAGATGGCTGTAATTGTAATATCCTGAGGTTTGCTGAGCCCCCAAGTCTGGTTATTGGGCAGGTCTCAGGCTTGCCGCCGGCTCTCTGCAGGAAACGTAAAATCTGATCAAGTTCAGAGACGCATTGAGAGCCCGCTTCAAGCAGCGCTTTATTACCGCGGCCCTTTCACATTCTTCCCCCCAATCAGCCCCGGGAAAGGCTTCGTCTTCTTTATTTTAAGGATTGCAGGGGGCGAGTAAAAGAAAAATTAAAAAAAAAAAAAAAAAGGGAGAGAGGAAAAAAAAAAAAAAAAGAAGAAAGGGGAGAAAAAAAAGCCACCAATATAAAATCTCCCCGAGAGATAGCACCAGTGCCCGTCAAACACTCAAATTTCCCAGGCCACAGCCGCCAAGAACAGTCCCAAAGTTGGAAGGTGAGTCCGCCGCTGCCGTTGGTGCACGATGGCTACAGAGCAGGAGGAGGGAGCGCGGGGACCCACCGGGGCACCCACCGGGGCACCCACCGGGGCACCCACCGGGGCACCCACCGGGGCGGTCGGGGCCGCCTTCGCGCTCTCCCCGCTCCAGCCGCGGCTGTTCGCGGGCGGCGGGAGAGCCGGCGGGATCGCAGCCCTCGCCGCGGCTCGGCCGGGAGCCCGGGCTCCGGGAAGCCGAGACAGGGCCAGGGGTAGCCGGTCACATCGGCCCCCGGCGGCGACGGGGCGAGGCCCGCAGCCGCCTTGCTGCTCCGCTGAGGCTCTACCTGCCTGTCTCCGGAGGGCTGCGCCGGGGTCATTAATTATAATTACCTCCCGCACGTGTAGGGTTTTCTCGACAACAACCAACCCGCAATAAAAATTAAAAAAAAAAAAAAATAAAAGAAAAAAAAAGGAAAGAAAGAAAAAAAAAAAGGGAAAAAAAAAAAAAAGGCCGGGGGAAAGGGGGTGGAAATTCAATTATTCCCGTCAGCTGAGCGTCGGGGAGGGCAGCGCCTCTGATGTCGCCGACCTGGAGCGACCGAGGGCGAGTGACCCCTGTTTGTGCGGAGGCCTCACGTGCGGCATTGTGTCCCCCGTGGGTGGGACGCGCCGGGCCGGGCCGGGCCGGGCCGGTGGCGGAGCTTCGCTGCCCGCCCAGGTGCTCACACCACGCGGGGCTGCGGCTGCCCCGACCGGGGGGCGTGGGAAGGGAGGCGCGGGTGTGGGCTGGGAAACCCTCTGGCGTGGAGAGAAAGAGCGAGTGTGGCTCCACAGAGGCAGAAGATTTTTAAAAAATTAAATTTAAGTTGTTTTTCGCCTAAAAAAAAATCTCTCGTCGGCAATGGCGCGACCGCTAGGCTTCGAGAAAAATATCCCGAGGGGTTGGGATTAGGGAGAAAAACGAAATGATCGTAGCTTTGGACGAGGAATCCCCGTTTCGGGACGGTTTGCTGGCCACAGCCTGCCTAGTAGTTGTGTATTGCGGACCGGGCTACATCAATTAACCTATAAATCTCTTTTTATACGTTTCCCACTTCTACTCTACCAACTTTGCCTGGGTGTGTGCACCCGGCAGCATCCGCACTGGCGTTCTGTCACTATTTACACTCCGTCGCATCCTGACTGGAATTTGCCAGTTCGGGGAGCAAAAATTGTATAAAACGAGGTGGGGTTTTTTTTGTTGTTTTTTTTTTTCTTTTTTAAGGCATTGTCTGTGTAGCCTATGATCGTTTTTCCCTTGCTGAGCTTTCGGAATATATGTGTGTGTGTATATATATATATATGTATACAAAAATATATATATTGTACTTTATTTTATCACTTCAGTAATTTCCATTTTTATTCAGCGGTATTTCTGGCCAAACTCAATTCATTTTCCAGAAGTCGTGGTACCTCTCATCTCTTCCATTTAAAATCTATCTCAATTGCAAACGTGCAAACAATAACAACCGTAAAAGTAGTCTCCAGGTTCCCTTTTCCCTCCGTGCTCGCAACGTGAGGGGAAGGCAGAGAAAGACCCCCTGCTTTACGACAAGAACAAATATTGTGCAGTTCTCCCACCTTTTTGTTTTTTGTTTTTTTGGTGTTTTGGGTTTTTTTTGTTTTGTTTTGTTTTTTGTTGTTCTGTTTTGTTTTGTTTTCCTTTTAAGTGTTTTTGGAACTTAAGAGCTGCAAAAATTTGAAATGCCCTGGGAAGGGTTGGGGGTCCCTCCGTGCCCAGAGCCCGCCGGGACCTCCCTGCCGGGCTTCCCGGGGATCCCGGGGCTGAACGCTGCCCCGTCCCAGCACCCCGGTGCGGTCCGGAGAGCCTCTCCAGGAAGAGACCGCGAGGTCTCGGCCCTCCAGCGCAGGAGGAAAACGCGGTCCCCAGCGGGTGCCCACGCTTTATGGTACATTTATGGCAGGGGCAGGTGAAGTTTCAGCAACGGCTCCAGGAGCGCCAGATCGGAGGCTCCGTGGATTTCCCTCGTGCCTTACACCGAGGATGCGAGGAAAAGGCAGAACAAACCCGGGATAACAGCAACAAAAGTCCCCTCGCGCTGAGCTGAGAGCCGGCGGCGAGGGGAATATTCCATCCACCCTAAAGAGCTTTTAAACCGCGCTGTATCGCGGTTAAATGAATATCCTTAACAAGCGTAAAGACAAGTAGTTTTTCTCCTGCCATAAACATATTGCATCTCCGGTGTAATTATATGCAAACCAGGAGCGAACGAGACATTTCCATTGTAGCTGTCACTCAGCGGAGGGGGAAGCACATGTACATTTGAACTTCAGAGATCCGGGCTGGAGTAAACAGGTCTGAACTTCGGCAAGGGGAGGGGGCGAGGAATATCAAAGGCCAGGCGGAGGCAGGCAGAAAGACTGGAGTGGCGAGGAAACGTAGGTGCCAGCGGGCTCCCCTGCATCCCGGGGAGCCGGGCCGACACCGACGCTGGCAACCTCGCCCGGGCACCAGAGCTTGTTGCTCGTTTTGTGGTGATGGGGAGAAGTTTCCCCCCTAAAATGAAGATCACCGTTCAGCTGCGTGGGAAATATGCATCGGGCTCGGAAGCGAGTGGGAAAACCACGAGGACGGGTTCAAGTGCTGCAGAATAAATTGTGTCCTGTCGCCCAAATGGGGCCGAGGCAGACCTAGGAGCAGGGAACAGCGGGTGTCGCAGCCCTGCGGGAAGCTGAGGCGGCTCCCTGCACCTTGGGGTGCCCACACACCGGAGTCAGCCCATGAAGGGCCACACTCTGCAAGGAGGAAACACCCACTCCTCATCTCCCCCATCCCTCGCTAAGCCATCAGGAGGAGGAACAGTGCAGACCCGCGAGCGGACAGCGGGCAAGCCGGGGCCTCGGCACCCCGGCCCGGCCGAGAGCATCCGTGCCCTCCGACCGCCCCCTTGAGAACCCCCCCGCGCCTCCGAGAAGCAGAGAGGGTGGGGGAAAGCGGCGAATATCTCAATCAGCGAGGAGGTGACCTGTGACCCGAAGGGTGGCTCTATTGTCCCGCTGTTGCGGGGGACACAGACTTTAGGCAGTCTTTCTGCGTGACTGAGCCCTGAGG